GTGTGTGTAGTGTGTGTGTGTGTGTGTGTGTGTGTGTGTGTGTGTGTGTGTGTTGTGTGTGTGTGGGGTGTGTGTGTGTGTGTGTGGTGTGTGTGTGTGTGTGTGTGTGTGTGTATGTGTGTGTGTGTGTGTTGTGTGTGTGTGTGTGTGTGTGTGGTGTTGTTATGTGTGTGTTGGTGTGGTGTGTGTGTACTCACTTGTTGTATCACTATTTGGGGTTTGCGGGGGTCGAGTCGAGCTCCTGGCCCGCCTCTTCATGATCGAAATGGGCCCACTCTCCCTGGCGTGAGTTTACATACCTCTGCTTAAAGCTATGTAGGATCCTCCCCTCCCTACTCGCCCCCAAATTTCCCTTACTGACTACTTGTGGCTGAAAAATTTTTCCTAACACCCCTGTGATTATCTGTGTCTTCAGCTTCCAACTGTGTCCCCTTTTACGTGCCCAAAACCCGGGAAACCCTGTTTTTGTCCCCCTTTGTCAACCCTCTCAGTATTTTGATGTGTTTCATGTCCCCCTATCTTTCCTTCCCCCCAGTGTCGTCAGGTTTTTTCCCCCTTAACCTCTCCGTAGGACATACTCTTAGTTGGGACTAGTCTTGTTAAAACCCTTTGCACTTTCTTGTTTCTTCACGTGCTTGGCTAGGTGGGGGTTTCCCAAAATGGTGCCGCATACCCAATAGGGCCTAAAACACGGTGTACGGGGTCTGAATGATTCCTTATTAAGATGTGGGAAATGCTGTTCTGAGGTTTGCTAGGCGCCCATATGCTGCGCAGTTTTTTGGGTTGATGTGCGCTTCAGGGATGTCCCTGGTGTTATATCACCCGGTTTTTTTCCCTTGAGTGAGGTTTGTAGTCTCTGACCCCCGATGTACTCCGTTGGGGCCCTTTCTTTCCCCTTCCCCCAATTTATGACTTTCACTTGGTGGGATTGAACTCCAGGAGCAATTTGTGGCCCAGGTCTGCGCCTGCCCAGTCCCTTTGGTTCGCTGGTCTTGATCGAGTGAATTTTCTCATAAATTTCCGTCATCTGCAAACGGGAACCTCAGAGTCTATTCTTCCGTCATGCGTTCACAAATACAGAAAAAGCATGGTCTAGGATGCCCCCTGCGGGACCCCGTGGCCAGGTGCCCACTCTGACCCCTCCCCACGTACCATGACTCGTGTGTCTTCCTGACAGTATTCCCTGTCCATTGTAGTCCCTTTCCCGTTTCCCTGTTGGTCTCCAGTTTTTGCACCATTCTTGTGTGGAACGTGTCAAACGCCTTCTTGCAGTCCAAGAAAATGCAATCCCCCCACCCTTCTCTCCTTGTCTTACTGCTGTCACTGTCATAGAAAATCCGTAGGTTTGTGACACAGGATTTTCCCTCCCTGAAACCCTGTGGTGCTGTGTGAGTCATTTCCTTTTTGGTTTCACACTCTTTTGAATAATCTTCTCCCTGATTGTGTTGTGTGTGTGTGTGTGTGGTGTGTGGTTGTGTGTGTGTGTTTTTGGGGGTGTGTGTTGTGTGTGTGGGTGTGTGTGTGTGTGTGTGGTTTGGTTTTTGTGTGGGGTGGGTGTTGTGTGTATGCTTTTTTTGTACGCTGTGTGCATTGTGTGTGGGGGCCCTGTGTGTGTGTATGACCCACTTAATTTGTATTTTAATCATTACAAATTTTGACCAGGTGTGGACGTTCGTGGTTTTTACTTTATAATTTTTTATGATGTCCATGTATAGGAGTGAAGTGATTCATTACCTCTGTAATTGCCATGATTTTGTGGGGCCGATTACCCGGAGTTCATTCCTTTGTAATAGTTAGCTACATAAAATTTGGGTCCAGTCATGGACCCATTTTGTACCTTTGTAATTTTTTTACTACCCCCCACAGGAGGGTTTGTGGTGATACGCCCCCCAGGATGGGATGTGGTGACTACGCCCAAGGATGGGTTGTGGTGATACCCCCCACGGGTGGGGTTTTTGGTGACTACCCCCCACAGGATGGGTATTGGTGATACCGCCCCCAGGGTGGGGATGTGGTGATCCCCCCACAGGATGGGTTGTGGTGACTCCCCCCACAGGATGGGTATGTGGTGACTACCGCCCCCAGGATGGGTTGGGGGGTGACTACCGCCCCCCAAGGATGGGTATGTGGTGATACCGCCCCAAAGGGTGGGTTTTTGTGGTGACTACCGCCCACGGTGGGTTGGGGTGACTACGCCCACGGATGGGTATGTGGTGACTACCGCCCACAGGATGGGTATGTGGTGACTACCGCCCACAGGATGGGTATGGGGTGACTACCGCCCACGGATGGTGTATGTGGTGACTACCGCCCACAGGATGGGTATGTGGTGACTACCACCCACAGGATGGGTATGTGGTGACTACCGCCCACAGGATGGGTATGTGGTGACTACCGCCCACAGGATGGGTATGTGGTGACTACCGCCCACAGGATGGGTATGGGGGGCATAACAAACATATTAAACTGAATTAAAACTTTGTGGCAGGATTATTTTTCTAGCGTCGCTTCCGTTATGAGAGCAGTTTGGAAAAAGTTCGGGAACTGAATGACAAGTGCTCTCCAGACCCGGTTCCCGTTCTTAGGGTTGCCGCTGCTAGAATTTCAAGCCTTCTTAAAGTTGCCACAGAAATTGAAAATCATCTTGTCCTTATCTCTCAGAGGCTCCATCTATCCACCTTGAGGAGGGTTCTACGAGGAATCATATACCTGGAAGCAACCTGGAGAGAGTTCCGGGGGTCAACGCCCCCGCGGCCCGGTCTGTGACCAGGCCTCCTGGTGGATCAGAGCCTGATCAACCAGGCTGTTGCTGCTGGCTGCACGCAAACCAACGTACGAGCCACAGCCCGGCTGATCAGGAACCGACTTTAGGTTCTTGTCCAGTGCCAGCTTGAAGACTGCCAGGGGTCTGTTGGTAATCCCCCTTATGTATGCTGGGAGGCAGTTGAACAGTCTCGGGCCCCTGACACTTATTGCATGGTCTCTTAACGTGCTAGTGACACCCCTGCTTTTCATTGGGGGGACGTTGCATCGTCTGCCAAGTCTTTTGCTTTCGTAGTGAGTGATTTTCGTGTGCAAGTTCGGTACTAGTCCCTCTAGGATTTTCCAGGTGTATATAATCATGTATCTCTCCCGCCTGCGTTCCAGGGAATACAGGTTTAGGAACCTCAAGCGCTCCCAGTAATTGAGGTGTTTTATCTCCGTTATGCGCGCCGTGAAGGTTCTCTGTACATTTTCTAGGTCAGCAATTTCACCTGCCTTGAAAGATGCTGTTAGTGTGCAGCAATATTCCAGCCTAGATAGAACAAGTGACCTGAAGAGTGCCATCATGGGCTTGGCATCCCTAGTTTTGAAGGTTCTCATTATAGGCTGCAGACTTCAAAAAGTCGTGGATTTAATCTACTTAACCTTCAGCCATATCTTCTGTGAACAGACTGTGGTCCTGAGTCATTCTGGGAACTGTCTGTAGTCACTCGTCACCTCCGAGACTCCAGCCAGCCTGGTTCACCTCGTCATATCACGGTCCACACCAGCTTGGTTGCTCAGCTACTCGACACTGTGTTAATTGCCGTACACCTTTCATTTTTATACGACTGATGTATGTTTTTGTAATGTATGGTGGAGACCATATTCTGCAACATCTATAAAAGAGTTATTCAAGTTACCTTCGTCTACTGTGGAACAGAAACTGTCTACAACGTCACCAGTGGAGTCGTACCTGTTGCTGCTCTTGTATATTTGCATATCTTATCTTTGATTCACTTTTATAATTCAGTTTTTACTTTTTATTTGTTTTGATTCTTCTAGTACTTCATGTTTGTGTGTTTATTATTAAGTAAATTGTATGTTTTTTTTTTTTTTTTTTTTTGTATCTCTAAACCTCCGCCTTGTTTATATTTACGAGTTATTCATATGTTTTCCGTCTTAACTTCTGCTAAGAATTGTCGTGGGATCCACGACATATACGAGTAGAGGGGGATTTATTCGCTACAGTTCACAAGTGGCTTTAAGCCCCATTAATACAGAGCTTTTACAAATGTAAAGAGACTATTGTAGCAGACAGTCACAGCGCAAACAGGAGTGCTGCGTAGACGTCCGAGACACGCTCTCTGTTTCAGGTCGCAGCATAACAGCCGGGTGAGTGTGAGGATTGTGACGTCTTCTGCAGCACTTGTAACCAGAACCGCTACAGCCGCTGTTGACTTCATGTTCAGAGTACTCACACCGAGATTTACACACACCACAACTGATGTCACATGCATGGTGTTCCTCGCAATTTGATTAAAGATTCCTCTGAATAATCGGGAGGGCAATCATGGTTGCAATCACGACAAAAGGAACTCTACTTCTTACAAAGACACTTGAAGAGTGCAAATTGAGCACAGCAGTTTTCTGAGTATATTCCGGTCAACTAATAAGAATGATGCAATCGATGCTAAGACATACTCACTGGTCGCCTTGTAAGGTTAGCAATTGATCGCTGGTATGGCAGTTCTTATACAGCTGTTACTCAAAATACAGGACATTTGCAAATATTTTAATTCATTCTTGATGCCGGTGAGATGCAATTCCTTGGATCAAATGCCCTTGTCCTGCCTTTACTCATATCAAACGTACTGTCTTCCATTCCCCAGGCGATGCATGACCAACTGTGAGTTCAGAGTATTCCTTCTGAGGGTTTGGCGTTTACCCTTAATTAAATGTGTTAATATAACAATAAAACATCCTTATTTTGATGACAACTTGTTCATGTAACATCTCAAACAAAAAAACTCACCTGAAACTAAACATCACACCATAAGTACTAGATATAATAGTGATTGAAGGCGACACAGTTTTAATATTAATGCTAGTATTTACTAGGGAAAGATGAAAACACTTCAGTATAAATTACTGATTCAACTTAGAAAAAGCAATCACGCACATTGGTGACAATATATTTTGCATTTAATCAATAAATTTACACTATTCAGCAATGGAACACTGAGGTAGTTACTGACGTGTTTTAACGCAGCAATGGCAGTTTGAGCCCCGGCAACCTTTACTGTTCCTTTTATCATCGTCAGAGCATCTCGTCTTGCACACACCTCCCTGCTGCTTACACTTCTTCGCACTGCAGCCTGCAAAGCAGCATGTAATGATATAAATTTATGTGCAACGACACTTCATACTACGATGCAATGGTCAGTACACTCGAACTGTGATTATTTGTGCAAGAAAGGTATAAAATACCAACAATATGAAAGTTAGGACACATGTGCAACATCTGGATATCTTTATTGTAGACGTTTCGCCATCCAGTGGCTTTATCAATACAGATTCTAGGACATAATTGGAAGACAGTAGAACTATATACAAAAGATGAGGTAATCAGTCCCTCAGCCTTGGAGTTAGTGTTCACAGCATCGTGGTGGAGGAGAATCTGGAGCAAAGGCAAGAAGACTGGCGGTTATATAGGCGTCAGTGGATCAGGACGGGAAGCAGACGAGGGCATAGTCACTGGTAGGCGGGATTCCCCAGTGGAAGTAGGTCCTTCCCAAAGAGATGGGTATTTTATACCTTTCTTACACAACTTGTCAGACAATGCAACATCATGGCATCTTGGTTCAGAGGACATCTACAAGACCTTCTTCACGGCTGCTACAACTAACCCATCTCTTTGGGTAGGACCTACTTCCACTGGGGAATCCCGCCTACCAGTGACTATGCCCTCGTCTGCTGCACGTCCTTATCCACTGACGCCTATATAACCGTCAGTCTTCTTGCCTTTGCTCCAGATTCTCCTCCACCACGATGCTGTGAACACTAACTCCAAGGCTGAGGGACTGATTACCTCATCTTTTGTATATAGTTCTACTGTCTTCCAATTATGCCCTAGAATCTGTATTGATAAAGCCACTGGATGGCGAAACGTCTACAATAAAGATAACCAGATGTTGCACATGTGTCGTAACTTTCATGTGATTATTTGTATAAGCTGCTGTAGACTGGTATAAAATAATGACAACTGTTCAAGAAAACGGCATTTTATTAAGTAAAATTATTTTAAACCAACTTCAGTTTTGTGAGCTACTGTGAGATACCATTGGTTGCGACTTTGGTATGCTGGAGTATGCTAATGGATGATATTAAAATTTCGCTAGGAGTTTTTACATTACACAATTATTTATGGGTTCCCTACTGTTTATTAACATGTATACAGTTCTGTATACATGTTAATAAAGAAGCAAATATTGTATACCTTCAGTGAGTCTGAGTCATCAATTTCAAGATGACTTTTCAAGTCATACACATATTTGCCTGTTAAATTCGTTATTAAACACAACCACAAAGGCTAATCTTATGTGTGTAAAATCATATAATCTCTTTAAATACGTTGTAATTATGTATATATAACTTTATATTTTATAAACTCATTTCTTATAGTTCGCAGCCAGAATGGCAATATAGATTCTCACAGCTTCACGTCCGAGTTTCGCCCAAGTATAACTTCGTACATTTATGTAAACACAAAGGTTAACGCACATACATACATACATACATACATACATGCATACAGTATGAAAACGACATGACATTGAAAGTCAAGTCTGACCCGAAACTTCTTTACAGCCACATCAGGAGGAAGACAGCAGTCAGAGACTAGGTAATCAGGCTGAGGAAAGAAGGTGGGGAGTTCACAAGAAATGACCAAGAATTATGTGAGGAGCTTAACATCAGATTTCAGGAAGTATTTACGGTTGAGGCTGAAGGGACACTTGGAAGACAAAACAGTGGGGTACACCAACAAGGTGAGGAGGTGAAGAAGCTCCTAAGTGACCTTGATACCTCAAAGGCAATGGGACCGGACATCTCTCTGTGGGTCCATAGAGAGGAAACAGAGACACTGTGCATGCCACTAACAAAAATCTTCAACACTTCCCTTGAAACTGGGCAACTACCTGAAGTATTGAAGATGGCAAATGTAGTCCCCATCTTTACGAAATGAGACAGAAATGAAACACTAAATTATAGACCAGTGTCACTGACGTGTATAGTATGCAAAGTCATGGAGAAGATTATCAGGAGAGTGGTGGAGCACCTGAAGCGGAACAAGATTATAAACGACAGCCAGCACGGATTTATGGAAGGCAAATCCTGTGTTACCTACTAAAGTTTTATGACAAGGTAACTGAAGTAAGAAATGAGAGGGAGGGGTGGGTTGATTGCATTTTCTTGGACTGCAAGAAGGCCTTCGACACAGTTCTTCACAAGAGATCAGTACAGAAGCTAGAGGATCAGGCACATGTAACAAGAAGGGGACTGCAATGGATCAAAGAATACCTAACAGGGAGGCAACAGCGAGTCATGGTCCGTGATGAGGTATCACAGTGGGCACCTGTGACGAGCGGGGTCACACAGGGATCAGTCCTGTGACCAGTATTATACTTGGTATATGTGAACGACATGACGGAAGGGATAGACTCAGAAGTGTCCCTGTTTGCAGACGATGTGAAGTTAATGAGGAGAATTAAATCAATTGCGGACCAGACAGGTCTACAAAGAGGCCTGGGCAGGCTGGATGCGTGGTCCAGCAACTGGCTCCTAGAATTTAACCCCGTCAAATGCAAAGTCATGAAGATCGGAGAAGGGCAAAGAAGACCGCAGACAGAGTATAGGCTAGGAGGCCAAAGACTGCAAACCTCACTCAAGGAGAAAGACCTAGGAGTGAGTATAATACTGACTACATCGCCAGAAGCACACATTAACCAGATAACTGCAGCGGCATATGGGCGCTTGGCAAACCCGAGAATAGCGTTCCGGTACCTCAGTAAGGAATCGTTCAAGACTTTATACACTCTGTACGTCAGGCCCATACTGGAGTACGCAGCACCAGTTTGGAACCCACACCTGGTCAACACGTCAAAAAATTAGAGAAAGTGCAAAGGTTTGCAACAAGGCTAGTTCCAGAGCTAAGAGGAATGTCCTATGAAGAAAAGTTAAGGGAAATCGGTCTGACGACACCGGAGGACAAGAGGGTCAGGGGAGACATGATAACGACATACAAAATACTGCGTGGAATAGACAAGGTCGACAAAGACAGGATGTTCCAGAGATGGGACACAGAAACAAGGGGTCACAATTGGAAGCTGAAGACTCAGATGAGTCAGAGGGATGTTAGGAAGTATTTCTTCAGCCACAGAGTAGTTAGGAAGTGGAATAGTCTTGCAAGCGATGTAGTGGAGGCAGGAACCATACATAGTTTTAAGACGAGGTATGATAAAGCTCATGGAGCAGGAAGAGGGAGGACCCAGTAGCGGTCAGTGAAGAGGCGGGGCCAGGAGCTGAGTCTCGACCCCCGTAACCACAATTAGGTGAGTACATACGTACATTCATACCTACATACATACATATAGTAGCGACCAGTGAAGAGACGGGGCCTGAAGCTCTCATTCGACCCCTGCAACCACAATTAGGTGAGTACATGAATATATTCATTCATAAAAATATACTTGCATACACGTTGTTGTCTTGCTGCATAAGAATTTTATAACCCCTGTGAATGATTCCTTCTCGGTACATTAAACTCATGGATACTAACTGTGAGAAGGAACACAGCAATACCAGTTATCTCCTCCACAACTTAGGAACACTGGTACTAACTGTGAGAAAGAACACAGCAACAGCACTCATCTCATCCATAACTTAGGGACACTGGTACTAACTGTGAGAAGGAACACAGCAACAGCAGTCATCTCATGCATAACTTAGGGACACTGGTACTAACTGTGAGAAGGAACACAGCAACAGCAGTCATCTCATCCATAACTTAGGGACACTGGTACTAACTGTGAGAAGGAACACAGCAACAGCAGTCATCTCATCCATAACTTAGGGACACTGGTACTAACTGTGAGAAGGAACACAGCAACGACAGTCAGCTTGTCGACAACCCTTCTTGATCCTCTGCTCACCCGATGAACACTGTTTTTTGCAGGTGCCTCCTTTCTTCTTACACTTCTTGTCGACGTAACACTCTGGAGTAGGAAAGACTCAGCAATGTCGTCTCATATGTGGGCGGGCTAATACTAATTACTTTGTTTGGTTTCACTTCTTTTTCCTAAACGATGGACATAAATCTCAGCTCAATTATTGTTGTTGTTGTTGTTGTTGTTGTTGTTGTTGTTGTTGTTGTTGTTGTTGTTGTTGTTGTTGTTGTTGTTGTTGTTGTTGTTGTTGTTGTTGTTGTTGTTGTTGTTGTTGTTGTTGTTGTTTGTTGTTGTTGTTGTTGTTGTTGTTGTTGTTGTTGTTGTTGTTGTTATTATTATTATTATTATACAGTCAAAGAGAGTTTAGGGGAATTAAATCACTTCTAATAACTTGATAAATAAAAGTCTTAAGCAATGTGACTCTTATATATGCAATTGCTACAGTTCAGATTGTCAATTGAATTATACTTGGCACACTCTTGGTAAATCAGCTGTTATTAAATGAGCGATGATCAATGTTTTTCATTTTTTGATCAACCTACCAACAGGTCAGGGGCCTCACCTGGTGCGCAACACTTGCATTTTCCACCTTTGCAGCCTTTCTTCACCTCCCTTTCTTCCTTCACACAAGACTTTCTGCAGGATCCGCCAACAATCCTGCATTTCTTTTTCGCTTTACAAGCTAGTGAAAAAAAAAATAAAAAAAATATTCATCGTTAAGCAGAGGAACTTACTTTTAAACTAGTTCTCAGATATAAACTAGAGGATTTATCCTTATTAATGTTTTTTGACAGGCTTTTTCATTTTTTGGCAAATGGTAAATGACTAGAAATGTAAATAATAAAATTGAAAACACCGTCTCTGCAACAAGTCACCAGAAGTCAGCATGTAATAAATGAAAACTGGACGATGTTCGGATCCGATTAAATTGTTGCGAATGAGTAGAAGCAGGTTGATAACCAGCAAAGAGGTCAAAGCATTGAGAGATGAGGAGACAGCCAAGGTCAGGTCAAGTTATGTATTTCCTGAATACTGAATATTTGACATAAGTTCTCTCAGAAAGAGATGAGCATCTCCATAGACAAGTCTGAGGCTAAGATAGCAAAAAATAAAGGTATGTAAGTGATAATTAAACACTTTATCATTTGAAAACATCTTGACTAAGCCAGTTTCTACTATTTTCAACTTATTCAAGACTTTTGGGTTTGTTTCAGCTCATACGGGTCTAAGTAACCCAATTTTCATTTCATAGATTTAAGCTGTTGAGAAGAGAAAGACGAATTTAAAAAGTCCGTCTTCATTAAATAGGTAGAGTTTCTAAAGGAGCTACAAGACTTCTTGAAATTTAATATTCTTTATTACAGATGCAACGATAATCAAAACACTTTTCTCGTTTCTACGACTACGACAAGAGCTTGCGTTTCTCACTAACTTTACAAAACACCTAATGTGCTGTCTTTGGATGTTTCTCAATAACACAGTACACAGGTTCACTACAGTACGAACTAAATAAAGCACTTACTGTTTTTACAACACTTGCAAGGATGGCAGGAACCGAACCGAAACGTCTTTAAGATGTGCTTACATTTCTTGCCCTTGCCCAGGCAGCTGCCGCCGAACCTCTGGCAAGCTTTCACTTGTTTCATGCAGTAGTCGTCTTCATGACTGGATTCTTTCTCTATGGAATGTCCTTTGTTATGAGTCTTCTTCCTTCTCACCTTCATCCTCTTCTTCTTAACTAAGTCAGTTTTCCCACTACTTTTCCTTCTGTCGTGGGATTTCGATTTGCTCTTTCTGGATTCCTTTTCGGCTTTCTTCTCGTCGAGTTTATTCCAATTGTGACTTATTCTTTTGCAGTTCCTGCAGGGTTTGCCGCCAGTTTTTCTACTGAGGCCTTTCCAGTGTGTCATTGCCTTGTGTGCCCGGTCGTAGGGGTCTCTGCCAGGCTGTCCACCAACCTTCCCACCGGGGCCTTTTTTCTCTTTGATCTTCTTGCGTCTCCAACTGTTGCTGTGTCTACTAGACTTTCCGATAGTTCTCTTCCTCTCCTTGTGTATTTTCTTCCCTTCTTTATCCTTGTCGCTGTCTCTATGGGACTTGTTTTCGTTCGATATTTTTTTCTTGACATTTTTCTTCTTACTTTTTTGAAGACGTTCTTTCTTTTCTGATTTTTTAAATTTATGTTGTCTATATATTTCATCGCCTTTTCTCATCCACTTTTTTTCTTTCTTCTCTCCTTTTCTTGAATTAATGTCGACTATCCCGTGAAAATCTGGAAAACTCTGAGTCATTTTTGCACTCTTCTCTTTTTCTTTCCTGATAATATTGTTTTTATTCTTTATCCAGTATTTCTTAATATCTTTCTTAATTTTCCTATTAACTCTTCTGTCTTTTTTCATCTTTCCTTCATTCGTCTTTTTAAACTTTCTTATTTCTTCACCATATTCAGTGTTTTCCTTCGTCTTGATTACACTCTTTTTATTTCCCTTTTTCCTTTTATTATTTATTTTCTTGCCTCCTTGACTCTTCCTGGTTTTTATTTGATAGTCAAGATTATTATTTCTATCACGACGTCCACCTCTTACTTTCATTTGTTCCTTAATTCTGCTTCCAGTTTTCCTTTGTTTTATTTTCCCAGGAGGTTCAGTGTCACTATTCTCACGTCCGTTTTCTCTCTCAGCCACAACATTCTTGGTGATCTCTATGTCTCCTTTCTTCTTCCTCTTTCCCTTCTCCATTCTTCCTGTGAATAAAATATAAGCTCAGCCTGGATATGCGTAAAATTTGAAAATACACCTCTTAAAATAATGTTCATTATTATTATTATTATTATTATTATTATTATTATTATTATTATTATTATTATTATTATTATTATTATTATTATTCACTTACCGTGAGGCTATTAAGTCCAGAAAAATATTTCTTAAAACATAATAAAACACGTACATTTAGAATCTCTGACACTTTCAGAGATTGTATTAAGTGAAGGCTGGTTCAAGGTCTGGGCCGCGGGGAGGTCGTCCCTCTGAACAACATCCAGGTAGGTAAACCTATGCTTATTATTGTTTGAATTACGGCAATGTCAGGAATTTGCAGAGTGAGCTCCTTACAGTTTAGGAAAGTGGGGGGGGGGGTAGTTCTTTCAGGAAGGTTTTTGTGGTCAGCTGCCCCACAGACCAGGTATTCCGTTACTAATCTACATTTTGCTGGATGGCCAAAACGCTGGTAATATCTGCATTGTTGGTACGTATGGAGTAACTTTCGTACTTGCAAGCGTTGTCCTGTTAGAAAAACCGAGACTGGAAACTCCCAATAACCAAAAGTCAGTTTAGCAATATTGCATAGAAAACGCCACTGACCTCGAGTAAGAAAGACATAAGTTCCAACTTTGATGACTGGGAGGTTCTGGAGCTATGGTTACTCTTAAATGTCTGGGACACATTGCGTAAATTCTTGTTTTACGATAACATGTGGGGTGAGGACAGTACCGCAGCAAAAACTGAGGGAAGAAAGTCTGTGTCATGACAGGTCACACCTGCCCTCTGCCCCCCTTCAAGGCAGGCGAAATTGCTAACCTGGAGAGTGTACAAAGAACTTTCACGGCACATATAAATACGATAAGGCACCTAAATTACTGGGAATGGTTGAAGGCCATTGAATTGTATTCCCTGGAATGCAGGCCAGAGAGATACATGAACATATACACATGAAAAATCCTAGAGAGATTAGTACCAGACTTGCACACGAAAATCACTCCCTATGAAAGCAAAAGAGATTCGACATTCCCCCAATGAGAAGTAGGGGCGCCACGAGTACATTGAGAGACAACATAGTAAGTTTCAGGGGCCCAAGACTGTTCAGTTGCCTCCCAGCATACATAAGGGGGATTACCAATAGACCCCTGGCTGACTTCAAGAAGGCACCGGACAGGCACCTGAAGTCAGTACCTGACCAGCCGGGCTCTGGTTTGTACGTCAGCTTTCGTGCGGCCAGCAGTAACAGCCTAGTTGATCAGACCCTGATCCACCACGAGGACTGATCTCAGACCGAACCGCGGGGGCATTGAACCCCGAAACCCTCTCTAGGTATACTCGAGGTATACCTTGAAAGCAAGGTTTATGGGACGGATGCAGGTAATCAAAAAGAATCCTGATTTAAACTACATGGTAGCACCTCCTGATACACCTAACACAGGTAAGGTCTACCATATTAATCAGATTAAACTATTCTTAGAGTGACCTAAGGTCTCAGTAATGACCTCTTCCTCTGTCTCTGATCCTGTGGATGACCCTGATTCCCTGTGTACAAGTCTGTAGGGTCAAATCAAAACGTTAATATAGACAGTATTGGGTCACATTATGTTACAACCGGCATCATAGGTCACATTTCGTTAAGGGACAACACGTGTGACCTCATTTGACTATAGGCAGTATGGGTCACATTGTGCTACCACAATCAGCAATGACCACTTTAATCGTCCCCATGCAGCACTGATCGCTGTGTGTTACCATATGCAGCATTGGTCGTACAATGTTACCATTGTTGACGTGGGTAACGTTATGTTACCTAAGATAACACGGTCACGTTATGTTTCAACAAATAGCATGGACACATTATGTTATCACAGGCACAAGGTGTAACATTGTGTTGTCACAGACAACATTTGTCACAGTACAGGGCCATACGCATCTTGCGTCACATTGTTACCGCGGGCAGCATGGATCACATTTTGTCTACGACTTTTATCATGAATTGTAATGTTATAAGTGCAGAATGTGTCACATTATGTTATAATAAGAAACATGGGTCGCATTGTCACAATATGTCACATTATGTTACCCCAGAAAGGATAGGTCACTTGTTACTATACGTAACATAAAGGAGGTTACCCTACAGATGTAAAAAACTATAGGCCAATATTAAACTTACCATTGCTATCCAAAATATTCGAGAAACTCGTGCACAGGAGACTATATTAATTTATAACGGCACAAAACATACTCAACCCCTGCCAATTTGGGTTCAGGAAAAATAAAAGCACTAATGATGGAATTATAAAAATGCTAGACCTGCTTTACACAGCATTGGAACATAAGGAATATCCGCTAGGAATTTTTATTGACCTAAGAAAAGCTTTTGACACAGTAGACCACGGCATCCTACTCCACAAACTTGACCACTATGGTATAAGAGGCCATGCGCTTGCTTATTTTAAATCCTACCTTTCTAATTGTGTGTGTGTGTGTGTGTGTGTGTGTGTGTGTGTGTGTGTGTGTGTGTGTGTGTGTGTGTGTGTGTGTGTGTGTACTCACCTAATTGTGTGTGTGTGTGTGTGTGTGTGTGTGTGTGTGTGTACTCACCTAATTGTGTGTGTGTGTGTGTGTGTGTGTGTGTGTGTGTGTGTGTGTGTGTGTGTACTCACCTAATTGTGTGTGTGTGTGTGTGTGTGTGTGTGTGTGTGTGTGTGTGTGTGTGTGTGTGTTTGTGTGTACTCACCTATTTGTGGTTGCAGGGGTCGAGTCCTAGCTCCTGGCCCTGTGTGTGTGTGTGTGTACTCACCTAATTGTGTGTGTGTGTGTGTGTGTGTGTACTCACCTAATTGTGTGTGTGTGTGTGTGTGTGTGTGTGTGTGTGTACTCACCTAATTGTACTCACCTAATTGTGGTTGCAGGGGTCGAGACTCAGCTCCTGGCCCCGCCTCTTCACTGATCGCTACTGGATCCTCTCTCTCTCTGCTTCCTGAGATTTGTCATACCTCTTCTTAAAACTATGTATGGTTCCTGCCTCCACTACTTCACTTGCTAGGCTATTCCACTTGCTGATAACTCTATGACTGAAGAAATACTTCCTAACGTCCCTGTGACTCGTCTGAGTCTTCAGCTTCCAGTTGTGACCTCTTGTCCCTGTGTCCCCTCTCTGGAACATCCTATCTCTGTCCACCTTGTCTATTCCCCGCAGTATCTTGTATGTCGTTATCATGTCTCCCCTGACCCTTCTGTCCTCCAGTGTCGTCAGTCCGATTTCCCTTAACCTTTCCTCGTACGACATTCCCTTGAGCTCTGGGACTAGCCTTGTTGCAAACCTTTGTACTTTCTCTAACTTCTTGACGTGCTTGACCAGGTGTGGGTTCCAGACTGGTGCTGCATACTCCAGTATGGACCTAACATACACAGTGTACAGTGTCTTGAACGATTCCTTATTAAGGTATCGGAACGCTATTCTCAGGTTTGCCAGGCGCCCGTATGCTGCAGCGGTTATTTGGTTGATGTGTGCCTCCGGTGATGTGCTCGGTGTTATGGTCACCCCAAGGTCTTTCTCCCTGAGTGAGGTCTGTAGTCTTTGTCCACCTAGCCTATACTCTGTCTGCGATCTTCTTTGCCCCTCCCCAATCTTCATGACTTTGCATTTGGCTGGATTGAATTCGAGAAGCCAGTTGCTGGACCACATGTCCAGCCTGTCCAGGTCTCTTTGCAGTCCTGCCTCATCCTCGTCCGATTTAATTCTTCTCATCAACTTCACGTCATCTGCGAACAGGGACACTTCAGAGTCTATTCCTTCCATCATGTCGTTCACATATATCAAAAATAGCACTGGTCCTAGAACTGACCCCTGTGGGACCCCGCTCGTAACAGGCGCCCAATGTGATACCTCTTCACGTACCATGACTCGTTGCTGCCTCCCTGTCAGGTATTCCCTTATCCATTGCAGTGCCCTCCCTTTTACGTGCGCCTGATCCTCCAGCTTCTGCACTAATCTCTTGTGGGGAACTGTGTCAAAGGCCTTCCTGCAGTCTAGGAAAACGCAATCTACCCACCCCTCTCTCTCGTGTCTTACTTCTGTTACCTTGTCATAAAACTCCAGGAGGTTTGTGATGAACCCATGCTGGTTTTCATTTATAATCTTGTTCCTTTCCAGGTGTTCGACCACTCTCCTCCTGATAATCTTCTCCATGACTTTGCACACAATACATGTCAGAGACACAGGTCTGTAGTTTAGTGCCTCGTTTCTGTTTCCTTTCTTAAATATGGGGACTACATTAGCTGTCTTCCATTTCTCAGGTAGTTGCCCAGTTTCAAGGGATGTGTTGAAGATTGTGGTTAGAGGCACGCACAGCATCTCTGCTCCTTCTCTAAGGACCCATGGGGAGATGTTGTCCGGTCCCATCGCCTTTGAGGTGTCAAGGTCACTTAAGAGCTTCTTCACCTCCTCCTCAGTTGTTCGTATGTCATCCAACACTTGTTGGTATATTCCCTCTTGATGTTCCCTTCTGTGCTGTCTTCCCACAGCCCTTCCTGTCTCTACTGTAAAAACTTCCTTAAATCTCCTGTTCAGCTCCTCACATACCTCCTGATCATTTCTTGTGAGTTCTCCACCTTCTGTCCTTAATCTGATCACCTGGTCTTTGACTGTTGTCTTCCTCCTGATGTGGCTATACAACAGTTTCGGGTCAGTCTTGATTCTCGATGCTATGTCATTTTCATACTGTCGCTGGGCCTCCCTCCTTACCTGTGCGTACTCATTCCTGGCTCTGCGACTGATCTCCCTATTTTCGTGTGTTCTCTGCCTTCTGTACTTTTTCCATTCTCTATTGCATTTTGTTTTTGCCTCCTTACACCGTTGGGTAAACCAGGGGCTCGTTCTGGTCTTCCCGTTGTTACTGTTGCCCTTGGGAATAAACCTTTCCACTGCCTCCTTGCATTTTGTTGTTACATATTCCATCATTTCATTTACTGGCTTTCC